TACGTAAACATATATATATATATATATATATATATATATATATACATATATATATATATATATATATATATATATATATATATATATATATATATATATAAATGGATCAACTACATATATATAGATATATATATATTTATACTATATATATATATATATATATATATATATATATATATATATATATATATATATATATATTTGGTTGGATAGATGTGAGTTTGTGACCCTGGGTTTCACGCTTTAGCGATCGTCAGACTAACCCAAATATGTTAGCTCTATCTCTGATATTGAGCGCTTTCTAATAAGTACCCGCATATAATATATAAATAATTATACATATATATATATATTTATTTATATTTATATACACTTTCACACACACACACACACACACACACACACACACATATATATATATATATATATATATATATATATATATATTTATAAATAGATCAGCAACTTCATCCAACAGCAAGGCCCTTGATCAGGAGGTTTTGAGGAGCATGGAACCACCTTTTAATTGCTTGTGTTCCCAGGTCCACCCTGGCCGGGGTGGTAGCACCTGTCAGAGCCCCAGCTATAGGCAAATAGTTAACCTCCAAAAAGGGGTCAAAACACTATGAAATTATAAGAAAAAATAAAAATATGTTTTAATACAAGCAAATATACTTTTGAAAAAAGTTAGCAGCTATACATTTTAAAAAAAAATATTACAATATAAAAATCTTGTCGGCGTTAAATAACCCATTGAGGTTGGTATGCCGTAAAACAAACCAAACCAATGAAAACCAGTTAATTATCGTTTTACGGCTATTTTTATTATCATTTCACCCCATGCAAGGCAATAAAATCCCTAAGACGTAACATGTTAAGCAGAGAGAAAAATAAAAGAATAAACATTAATTTACATTATTCGGACCGTTATTCTTATCTTAATTGCAACGTTTCGGCTGTTGTATGCTTAGGCCTTCTTCAACATATGCCTATACCTCGGAGATGAGGTATTATGATTACTTGCATCATTTACATTATTCGCACTGTTATCCGCATCTTCATTGCCATATTCAAAACTTTCCGGCCGTTGTACGCTCCGGCCTTTATGTCTATGTCTCTCTATATATCTGTCTATATCTCTGAGATGAGGTATTATGATTACTTGCATTATTTACATTATTCAGACTGTTATCTTCATTGCTATATTCACAATGTTTAATGATAATACTTTTTAATAATTTACGCAATTAAATTGATTTTCTTGCTTTTCACCCAATTGCCTGTTGATATTTCGAAAATTGACGTTTGCATGACCAATCGACAGAAGCAAAAACAAACTATGTTACGATGGCTAAAAGGGACTGACTTTCTCTTTTCTTTTTATTCGCCATGTCTTTTCAAGGAAGTTTAAGAAAATGGCTCTTCACAAATGCTAAACCAATCAGCAAAAATGTGGAATATTTTTACATCACCGGCAAAATATTTCACTGAAAAGAACAAATATGCTGTCCATTTATTTCAGGCTAGGAAACCAGAATTTACCCCTTGGAGAAACATTTAAGTTTGTTTGATAATCCACAAAAAGGGGGCCCGAATTTAATATTTATGCGCAGACATGTTTTGAATAATCGGGGGTCCGCTAACAAAAGTCGGTAGAAAATTTCAGCCATTGTTGATTGGGGAAACTAAGACATTGTCAATTCTAATTCCTCCAAAAAGAAACAGCCCTCTTTTAATCGTCTGAGATGAGACATTTTACCTTCCATCAGCATGGTTGAAGCTCCAGAACATGGATTAATTGTACCCTCTCGGACTAACATTTTCTCCTATTCAAAAGGCTGAGGTGGAGTGTAAACCAGACGATAGGTGAACTTATCTACACCTATTGAAGGATAGATGTGACATAGCAGTTTAACAATCTTTTCTTTGTTTGTAACTGTTAAGTGGGCCACCCCTTTTTCATACAAGTCGACTCGCCTAGTGTGTACTTGGACTGCTACCGGTGAATACCCGGGAGTATCAGTGACAGTGATACAGTGATACAGTGAGAGAGTGAGATTGTGAAGTAACCGCTTTGTAGGAGTCCCAGTTGCGAGCACGTAGACTCAGAAGGAAGTCATACTTCGATACTGAATTTCCCAGACTGTATATATATATATATATTATTATTGCTACTAACCGCATTTCTGGATCTACTATGCTTATTACCAATTGTATTATTAGGTTAATATATTTATTTGCTATATTCCATTCCCGCGTTTGTCATTCATTTGAGGCCGGATTTCATCCCGGAATCCACAAGAGTAACAATTTTTTCTACCTCTTAATACTTAGAAAAGGCAACGGAAAACTATTCTGCTATATTGACTAAGAAACCAAAGCAAACCTCAAATAGTAAAAGAAAACAAAAGATGAATCTATGCGGAATCATGATCGCTTGCAACTGAAAGAGAGGCGTCAATAAAAAAAAAAAGCCATTTAAATATTAACAAATTTAGAAGTTGATAATACACAACCCGCTTATTTGTTGAAAGAAACATCAGTATAATAGAACGAGCCAAACAGTTGTAAGTTGTGTCGAGTGACAATTATCTCTTGTCTCACCTTAAGATATGGCGAGAAGACGTGCTTAAAACTTAACAAAAGACAGCAGATAATTTCAGTTAGACAATTGCCACAAACTAGAAATAAGAAGCTGGTTAGTTAATTTTTCCAGAATGAATCTCAAATAATATTTGAACAAATATTCAGTTGCCACATCAAGTAATCGCCTGTGTTTGTTTTTAAATTTATGTGAATTAACGATTAGCCTATGAATTTTCTAGTAAGTCTATCTGAATTTTAAAATCTAGAAATGTCCATGACGACATCCTGGCACCCGGTCTCTCTTCTGATCCTGCTTTTACTGCTCTATAAGAGGAAGACTGTCTTGAACCATTCAATATCTCTAAAACTAAGCTAGTTATATTTCATCACTCTTAGACCTGTCTAACGTCTATCGTTAGACTTCAAGCGGAATTCGTATATACGAATCGTCGCTAAAGATTCTGTGAAAATAGCCTTGTATCACGCCAGAAAGGCCCTGACTCCTCCGTCCTATCTTTACAAGAGACAGATCAAAAGAAGAAAATGGAATATTGCTGCCATATCTGAACTGGAGCTGCCCAAACCGCACTTTCCAGCATTGATAGAGTTCAAAATCTTTAATGCAATATTGTGAGGGATGAATTATTTTCCACAATACAACTCCTTTCCCCACAGACGAATTGTTACAAGCTCATCGCTGCAATATCTCTATTTCCATGGCAAATGTTCGGACGAGCTACATTGTTTCGTTGTAGTTCACACCTTCACAACTAGGACACGACATGCCGCGTGCACACAGTCAACTAGTCCTAATTACTTTCGTATTCCATTTGTAAGGATGAAGTTCAACTTAGATTCTTTCCAATAACTATGGAACCGACATTACGACCTTAATTTCTTCCAATCAAACGGTGAACCGTTATCTATCCTCATATGTACTTATTCTACCTCCCTTTACACTTTTACAACAACATCATTCAGTAAATCTCTACATTGTGCTGTTCTTGAGCCTTGGAATGGGCAAATAAAAAAAATAAAAATCAACAATATAAAAATATATTTCTAGTGAGTACGTTAGCAAGCCTTTACAAGTTTATTGTCGGAAAAATCTAATATTTTATTTAACACATGTAGACGCAGAGACATGTGACTGTCTAGACATATCCAGCCTGTTTTATTTACTGTTAGTGACACATAAGAGGTTCATCGGAAGGGATACGGAGGTACGATGGAATAATAGATAGCGTTTCGGAGTGAGAAAATCGGAGAGCCGAGTTCGAATTCCAGGGGGTTCCATTACATTCACTTTCATGCTACGTGGGAAAGGGATGAATACTTTTCTCTTTCCCCGCGATATGTGTAAATAGCAGAAGAGACTGGATTCTATAGCCTTGTATGGCAGCCGGTCTAGGAGAAAGTAACTCTGAATTCAAAAGTGTATGTAATCCTGGCCTAGTACATATTATACAACTAAAGAAAGGATCGTTCGCATTGGCTCGATGATCCCGACTACGGTCGACAAATGGCGATGATTGCTTTTTGCAATCTAATAATAACCGGATGTATGTTAATAAATACATATATACATATGTTTTAAGACATTTTTTTATGTTTATACATTTTTTTTATAGATAAAAATATTTAAGTAAATGCTCTATTTATAATAAACATATGCCCTGTGAGGGTTAAGTTTTCCAAGACGTCCTTCCTCATTATTCGTCCAAGTAATTTCATCTTTCTTTTTCCGGTTCTGATCATGAGTGTTCTTTGTATTTCTTTAAGATTTCCTTGTTATTTCATCACTTATCGTCCACAGGATTTTCAGTATACATGCACATAAACACATTTCTGTTGCCTTTATTTTTATTTTTATTTTTTTGCTCCGCCCTGGGGAGACGTCAAACATTCACAGCCATAGAAGAGCATGGATACAACATAGCAATCCAGAACTATTTTCCTTGAATCCAACGATTGTTCTTCTGTTACTCAGTACCTTGCATAGCTTTTGAAATGCTTTTATGTGCGTTCGGGTCTCGGTGTCATATTTTCCATCCTCTGTTAAAACGCTTCCCAGATATTTGAACTTCTGCACCTGATTTTTGTTTCTATCTCCAATTCGTATCTCTCATTCCGTTCCTTTTCCATGGCTTTAACAAATTCGAAAGGTTCTAACCTTCCTGTGCATTTAAAATGCGCCGAGACACCAACTCAGGTATTTCCATTTTCCATCGCTACATATACATGCTTTCCATCACTCACCCACACACACACACACACATAGACACTCGCAGAATTCGCTAATACTATATAGATTGCAAGATCTCTAATATTCAAGAAACGATCACTAATAATGGAAAGTCTATATTTACATGCAATGTTCGCTGCTAAATAACCACGCCTACCGTATTCGTTAGGGTATATTTATCTATCTCTTTCCATCCTTTCTTTCTTTCTTTTTCTTCTTTAACTGCACGCAAACAAGGAAGAGGAGAACGTGAGAAACAAATAACACCTATCGATATCTAAAGGCAAGTCTTGTTTACTTGACCAGCAGTAGTAACACAACGTATCTTCACGTTGTTCCTCACAAATGGGTCATGATTATTAGACATGCGCAGATGACCGTGATTAGCGAGATCAGATTTCAGAAGGAGAGCAAGGAGACGGGAAAGTGTGCGTAAAATGGAAAGCGAGCGAAGATAGACAGACGATGATGAGGATGCGGAATCTTGTCATCAGACCATGAAATGTACTTCAGCTTCTCGTTCACGTCTAGCTTGCTGGCTTTCAAAAGAGGCAAACAGATTAACTGAGGAAACGGAGATTCTGACACAAGTATTAATAGACATGGGTATCAACACTAGGTGCGAGATGGGCATCATTATGTCAGTAGGCTATCGCGGAATAATAATTTACACTAGAAAAATATTTTTGTTAACATAAATGCACATAATAGGATGCGAAAGATTCCATAAATTGAACAGTCTACATGCTTATGATAGATAGATAGATAGATAGAGATAGATATGCGAAGCCTGAGATAGAGTGATAGACACACACACACATAGAGATATAGAGAGATGGATGAGCAGCATGAAATAGATGTATAGACGTATATATATATATATATATATATATATATATATATATATATATATAACTTAGCTAACTAGATAAATATATACGAAGAGACTTAGATAGATAGATAGATAGATAGATAGATAGATAGATAGATAGATAGATAGATAGATAGATCAAGAGACTGAGACAGATGCATACTTTAGAAGGGATTGATATATATATATATATATATATAGATAGATAGAGAGAGAGAGATAGATAGATAGAGAGAGAGAGACACATAGACAGATAGATATCATTTATTTGGTGTTAAATGCTCTATCATTCTAACATTGAGCACATTATTTCCAAATCCTTCTTGCCTTAAACACTTTCTTTCAGGTACTTACTCAGGAACAGTTTTTGTTATACATAATCAATCTTTGATATATATATATATATATATATATATATATATATATATATATATATATACTAGCAACATGGCCAAGCGTTGTCCATGCTTGATTCAAAAATCGCACGACTCATACAGCAATCGCTATCACTTGACTTAAAATATTTTTCCCTTCATTGTCTTTAAAGGAGTGCCCTTTGCCATGCTGATGTTGCTACTTGCCTTACTTCTTGCCTATCTCTCACTGCGAATTTTTCTAACCTCCATACTAAACATTAAATCTGTTATGAAAAAAGAACTAAACAAAATGAATACAAAACGATCAGCTTTAAAAAAAAAGGACTCGTAACTGGAAAAACCGAATGAAAAAAGAACGTTAACAACAATTACTTTTTCACACCCAACACAGTTCTACGGAATCAGAATCAACGTTAATGAGGCAATTGGAGTAAAGTGCCATGCAGATTTAAATTTTTCTCACTTGTGACGAATGCAGCTATCGATTTTTTGCATGCTAGCATGCTAGTTAACATTCGTGTCAGTCAGCTGTTGGCTCTCACGCTGGCCAATAGAATCTTCCTGCCTATTCGTGGCAGCCAGCTATTAGCTCTCATTCTGGCCAACGCAAAATGCCCGCAAACTACATGAAAACTGCCGTAGAAGCATGAAAAATCGATTATTTTCACTATCGATGGGGGTTGGGAAATGCAAAGTAGGTCTTGGCCTTTTCGCTAACTTGGAGCATGTGAATGTAAATTTCGGTGCAAGAAAGAAAATAATATATAAATTCCACCGTTCACAGCATTAATCCAAAAGAGGGCTCGATACTGATAGTAGAGCGATAATTATCTATTTCTTATAATTTTATCGTGTAGACAAAACCATTTTACTCACTATAAAGATTCAACTTGGTTTCTCAAACAAATGGAAAAAAGAAAGTGACGTTTCACACACGGCTTGCCTACAAGCAGGATTGTTCATAACCATTTTCGATTCTCACCCGTTGAAGTGCCGTTGAAATACACTGAAAGCAAGTTGCATTTTTGTAGATCACTTGTTTCACTCAATTGCTGGAAGTTATTCGGGTCTTCCTCACAGGGCGTTCACCTTCCTTATGAAACAACAGATCTTAGGTTCTCTGGCCGTTACAGGCTATTTGTTGACTGCTTCATACTGTGTAGTGACTAAGTCCAATATGACTTCTAGCACTTTGGTATGACGTCATTTGTACATCTGCAGTGATTGTGGACATGCCGAGAGCAGGTGACGTTATGTGCCTCGAATCACATACATGCACATACATCGGTGTCAGTGTACCCCCACTGCCAGAGGTTGATCGCATTTGGTAGGAGATCCTAGGTAGGTCGCAGGAGGAATTATATTGCAAATGGTTCCGTTGCAATCAGGGTATTCCATGATAGCTATGACCCCGAAACGAAGACTCTGTCTTCGCTGTGGAAGACTCCAGCCGATGAAAGCACGAATGAGTCGAAGTCATTTTCTTCCATACAAGAGCATTATTCATCATGAGTATACTCCAACTGATCAAACAGTAAATAAGGAATACCATCGTGGTGTGTTGCAAGTTTACGAGATTTTGCTCGTCGGAAAATGACAAAAAATGTATGCGCCATAACAACACATCTATCCATTCAGCACAGTTTCTTCATCAGTAGAACATTCGCCATGTTCGATAACCGCCATATTCCCCAGACCTCGCCCATTTACGACTTTTCCCTTATCCAAAAACCAAATCCAACTTGAAGGGAACAAGATTTGAAGACATCAAGGAAATCTATGAGAATGCGAAAATAGGAATGGATAAAGTGTCTGGCTTCAGAATGGGATTACTGTGATAGACAGACAGACAGACAGACACGCTGAAGTAATCGACAGCGGCTTAGATTGAGGAATCGGAGAGCCTAGTTCGAATTCCAGTCGAATCCATTACATTCACTTACGTGCTAATAACCTTAGAAAAGGTGAATCCTCTTCTTCTCCCTCCCGGTATGGGTAAATAGCAGGACAGACTGGGTTCGATAGCCTTGGATGGCAACTGGTCTAGGAGAAGAACAACTCTGAATTCAAAACCTGCGGAGGGTCGTTTGGGGACCTTGTGGCACTTAGTGCACCAGGTCTCTGTATTCGGCCTTCCAAAAAGTGCGGCTGCTCTTTCACGAAACCTTCACCACTATAATCAAATCTCATGTGTTGTTGTCGGGCTGTCGTTTTCCTAGGAACTGATCTGCTTGACCCTCATACGTCGAATTCGAGGGGAGAGTCGAGTATATATATATATATATATATATATATATATATATATATATATATCAAGTATGTGGTGCAGTTCAATTTACATTACATGAATCAATCATACAAAAACAGATATTGAAGTTAAAGATAGAAATGGCGAGAATCCATCTTCGCAAACAAATTTAATAAATTACATTAACTCTGGAACTTGTAGATGAATGTTATGATCCCTGTTTATAAATTCTTACAATTAACAATAACACATTTCTAAAAATATATTTCGGATTACACGTATTCTTTCATTGTCCTGTTATTACCGGGAAGTAAAAAACAAATCTATTTCCTGATGATGTCTGTATGCACAGATGAAAGCTTGTAAAAACTAAAAAAAGACCTTATGCAACTGAAATTTATAAACAAGGATCATAACATTCATCTACAGGTTCGGGGTTAATGTAATTTATTAAATTTGTTTGCGAAGATGGATTCTCACAATTTATATCATTAACTCCAATATCTGTTTTTTGTATGAATGATTCATGTAATGTGTATATATATATATATATATATATATATATATATATATATATATATATATATATATATCCACCCAAACTCGACGGATCAGTGTCTCTCCGCCGTTCCTATCTCTCTTGTCATAAATAAGACTCGTGTGGATTAAGTTTTCTAAGTCTTCTTTCCTCATTATATGTCCATGAAATTTCACCTGTTTTTTTCTAATTGTAAATATAAGTATTCTTGCTGTTACCGTTTACTTTAAGACTTCTTTGTTGCTTACTCATTCTGTCCATGGCATTCTCAGTATCCTTCTGTAGGACCACATTTCTGTTCATCTGTCGGGAGATTGACCAGTATTACTAGTCATATAAGAGGATGAGTATCAAAAACCAATTCCGCCATCTTGTCTTTGTTTCTAACGAAACTGACCCGTTTCGTAATATTTTGTTTAGCTTTTGCAATTCTTTTTTCGCTAATTCAATACGTGTTCGGATTTCGCTGTTGCATTTTCCGTCCTCTGTTGAAACACTTTCCAGATATTTAAACTTCTGTATCTGCTTGATGTTGACATTTCCAATTCGTAGTTCACCACTTGGATTTTTCTCTTGTTAATAATAATCAGGAACTCTGTCTTCTTACAGTTGATGGTTAGTCCATTGTTCTTGCTTTCCTTTACCACCTGTCTAGGAGGCCCTGTCGTCTTCATATTGTGTCTGCCTTCGGCCCTGTGTCGTCTGTATATCAAATTATTAATATATAAATCCTGGCAGGGTCTCCGGCTCCCTTAGGATAGCATCGCTATCGAGTTTGGACAGATTTGTAGAAATTTGTACTGCTCCGTTAGTTTTCTATCTCTATGCAGGCAATTTGCCCATAGTATAAGTTTTGGATTGTTATAATATCAATTCGGAATACATCTAGTCTTCTTAAAAGTTAAAATAGATCCTTTCACGGTACATGTTCAAATGCTTTTGAGTAAGCTATTATAGGGACCTTAAACTTAATAGCGTTAGCAGCCTTTTATAAACTTTGTATCAGCAGCAGCTCTTGAATATAAAAACACATGAACCCTAAACTAACTCTCTCTTCTGGATTTTCCTCTTTCGAACTGATGACATGAACCTTTCATGCTGAAGCTGGAAGGGCTGTAAACGCTATACAATAAAACACACTAAAACAATAAGTCTCACTCGAATATATTCAAGAATATTTCGCTTTGTATGCAATTTACTTCTAACAGAACTCTTGGGTATTTGTCTATATTTCGGAGAGGAGACAT